CAAAACCACTGCAAAGGAGATTAACCCAGGCATAAACTAAGGTGTCTCTTCACTTGCACCTAACACTGAGAATCTCTTTTGGAAAGGCCTTTCCTTGCAAGTGTAAGCACCCGTGAAAGTCTTCTCCACATCTTCTTCATCATTCAAATCCTCATTACTTGATTGTGTTGCTTTGATTTGTTGATCCACAGAGCCATTGCTCTGGTGAATGAAATTGTGTTCATCAAATAAAAGATATAAGTACTTGGTTGTTTCTGCTAAGACAAAAGACTCCATTCTCTACTCCTGCTGATGCGTTTTCACATCTTTTATCTAAAAAAATTAGTATGAAACCCAATTAGGGAGACATCTTTTGATAAACTATCCCCTTCAATCCTTTACACATAAACATCAGTGTTAGTAGCCATATTCTATAATACCTTCAATTTTCCTGGAAGTAAAGTAAAATCCTCAAAATTTTTTTATTATACCTAGTATATGATAATAAGTAAAACCTAAACTATATTTGAAATGTAGCCCTTAGGAAGACAAAATTGCAAACAACTTAGCTTGGTAATTGGGCGATCAAAATCGATCACAGTGCGTGAGCAATTATTTGAGTGAAATATGTAATGTCCAATAAGCTACATATAGTTGCATCTTTAAAGACAGATTTGAGAGAAACAAAATAAGAATGCCTTTTGATTATCTTCTGTTCGAATATACTCGTTTTTACATTTTGTATTTTAACGAAGTAATGTAGCATAATGCACTATATGAGCCCTTTTGTCTACGAAAGTGACGTTTAGTATTCATGAATAACAGAGTGATACGTAATCGTAGGTAATCATATAATAAGCGGAAATTACAGAACATTGATTGCAAGTGAGCGGAATTGTTCGAATGCTACAGAGCCTTAGGGGGGGAAAGACAAATTCAAAATCCTTCGATCCCCCCTTCCGTGATAAATGATGACGAGCCCTTACTCTTCTTCAAAGAATAACAGCTGTGTACTAACTAAATCGTTCAGTGTTTCGTGAAGCTGGTGAAAATATGAAACAAACCTTTTAGAGACTAAAATTTTATTTTTTGGGGCTTATAGCAAGGAGGATTAATCCATTCCTCAATATAAAAAAATCTACAAGATAAAAATCCCATCGAAACAAAAAGAGAACGATCTACACAGCCATAGAAAGTTCAACGAACGTTCACTAAGCCGGCAAACCCATCAATGTTTATTTTAGCGCTTAACAAGCTTGATCAAGTCATTAGTTTTTGCTAAGTAGGTACTTAATAATAATTATGACATAAATATGACAGTTCGGAAATCCACTGATCTTATTTTCGTTCTCTCTCTTGAGGGAGTAACGATAATCTTTCCAGCCTTTCCAGTTTACACCATCAGCATAGGAGGAGTAATTGCCACGACGATACCATCCATTTAGATTTGACGCATGACACGTGCTGTACCACCAGGCTCCTTTGAATGCAATGGCGCAGTTGCGGTTACTGTGATGATCATTATCGTGATTTCTAGTGGTGGCTGGCCGATCATGAGGGAGAGGGGAACTAGTGTTTCCTAAAGAACAAATTTGGCATTAACGGTAATAAAAAGCAAATAAAATAAGAATTTACATAACCCTTATCAAACGTCCCTGTGAAATAAGATCATTAGCTTGATATTGTTAATAAATAAATAATTTGCCGAGATATTTATCACACTTGAATTGTTCCGTCGGGCTAATAGGACAAGATCCGTCGGCGAACACTTTCAGATTTAATCAATGTCTAGTCTGCGCTGTCTAAGATTATTGTATTTCGGTAGGCTTAGCTTATCACTTTTTTTCCATCTTTGGAACCTATTGCTGTAAAAGAATTGAAGCTTTTTTACTTTAATTTACGCTCTCCTTCCCCGTAATAATAAAAAGGAAAAATACCGTTATACCTCAATAGGAATCACGAATCAGCCTGCACTTGTCATTCTCACTATTGACATCAAAAGTGTTATACTCAGCATAAGCTGTGTTCTCTTCAAAGTCTTCCAAATCCACACGCAGCATGTTCTTACTTTCTGAGATCACTCGGTGATTCTTGTCCAGTCTCAGCCAAAATTCACTTTTCAAGTCACCATAGCCAAAAGCTACTTATGGAAGCTGCAGCAAAGCACGGTTTACCATCTGCAGCAGTAATCATTGAATTCAAGGTCACTGCTACTAAACTAAGGTAAGTCTCCTTTAAACTTAATAGGTAAATATAGTAAGGAGGTAGGTAATGAGGAAAAAGAAGATTTTGGTATTTATTTTAAACAATCGGTAAGAGGCACAGTGGCATAAATTATTTTTACCCTGGACTCTGGATCAAAAGCAATGGAGACACAGTGGCCTCATCAAGTCACTGCGCTGGACTCCAGTGAACTGACTTTATAGTGTTATGCCTTCCTTTAGAGAACTGTTTGAACTTCTGTAACTCTGGTTACAAAACAAAACCACTGTTTTATACGCCACAGTCGTTCTCCCTGTCCAGCTAGCTGTTTTAATTATTCTTAGTCATCAGATCATAGCTTTTGTGTTTGAATTTACATGACTGATCTCATCTTGGTACCACTAAAGATGAACGTCAATAAAATACTTGATCAATGAAAATCCAGTGGAGATAATCAAAGTGTTATGACCAGTTTTAATGTCTTTCAAATTAAAATTCATGAAAACATGAAATTTTAGACCGACAGTTTGTAAACTATCGCAGAAGGTGAACTTTGATGGTTTTTTAAGTTTGATGGTTTGACATTTTTGACAGCTTTAGTCTTGTACAGCCAATCAGATTATTTGAACCATTCTAACAGGGATTCTGATTGGCTTATTGTAGCGTGCTTTATGAGAGTATAGAGCATGCTGACGACACTGTTGTTCGCTTTGGAAATAAAGTTTGTTTTGAAAATTGAAAGTAATGCTCGGGGAATTTAGTGGATTCTTTATTATAAAACAAATAGAGAAGCCTTGACTGTGCTCTGTTCTGTTATAAAGCACGCAGGAAGCGGCTAGAGCACGAACGAAGTGTAGCGAGAAACACGAGACGTAGTCGAGTGTTTCTCCGCACTTCTTGAATCTAGGGATTCTGATTGGCTTATTATAGCGTGCTTTATGAGAGTATAGAGCATGCTGACGACACTGTTGTTCGCTTTGGAAATAAAGTTTGTTTTGAAAATTGAAAGTAATGCTCGGGGAATTTAGTGGATTCTTTATTATGAAACAAATAGAGAAGCCTTGACTGTGCTCTGTTCCGTTATAAAGCACGCAGGAAGCGGCTAAAGCACTCAAGAAGTGCGGAGAAACACTCGACTACGTCTCGTGTTTCTCCCTACACTTCTTTCGTGCTCTAGCCGCTTCCTGCGCGCTTTATAACAGAACAGAGCACATTCAAGGCTTCTCTATTTGTTAAATGAAGCATGCTCACGCAATTGAATTTGATTACACAAATTTACTAGCCATGTTATAAAAGGAAATGACCACCAACTGAAGAAACTCTTGATTGTTAAGCAAATTCTCCCTGTCATCAGCTCAGGAAATATTTAGAGAGCAGTATAGAGAATATCCATCCTGATGTTAGGGTGTAAAGGGTGAGACGAAGGTGAATCGTTTGAGCCTACCACTAAAAAATTTCAAGTTGTTTTCACCAGAGACATGAATTTCAGAGCGTGGATGGTGGAAACCTTCCCGCAGATTCCCCAGTACCTGGGGCGTGCACCTAAAGATATGGACTAACTCACGTCTAAGTTAAAAACTTTACACGAGTTGGGCGCCATAGCCGTAGAGCGAGCCAAAAGAACGGTCTAGGTTTCTTGATTTCGTTTCCCCATCGCATTGAAATTGTGAAAAACCGAAAACTTTTATGTATCATAGATTTTAATCATTTATAAGTAAATAAAGCTTTAAGGAGTCCTCCTTCAGCCTGCAAACCAACGATCCAAGCGATCCAATGGGCCACTTTCGATATATCAAAATTCTAAAATGGCTCCGAGGCTAGGGGGAATAAATCAAAACATATTCACCAACTCATCCTTACATTTGTTATTTCTACAAACTCACTTTGTAACATAATCACCTGGAAAGCCATATCTACAAAATGGACCTTGGGCGTGACAATGTGTTCTTATGATTAAAAGTGCAATATAATTATCAATAACAGTGCAAGGTATTTACTTTAACAAAAGCTAAGAAAATACAAATAAAAGCAATATATGAAGCATTCTAGAATCATCGATATTACGTTACCGCATTCCAGTGTACACTAGAACTTGAAACGTATGTTTTTCTGATAGCGTTCTTTAGAGTCAAAACATTGGGTTATTGTTTAGAGTTTCATTTTAGAAATCGAAGGGGACTAGAACTGAATTAGCGACTGGGTTTACTCTACTGATTTTGACTTAGAAAAACTGATGGCTGCGTGATCGCTTTGTGTTTCGTCAAGTTAAAATACGAGTCAAAATTTAAAGAATCAAAACTTATATAACCGAGATAAGAATAGCATAGGAGGCGTGATGGCCATTGTGATACAAGCCATTGAGATTCGGGCATAACTCTTGTAAATACCTCAGACCCACCTAGGGAGACAGGGTCTTTTCAGCCGCTGCTCCCAGGCTGTAGAATATCTCACTTATAAACCTTAAGTTCAGTCCATTACTTTCTGGTTTTTGAGAAAAGATTAAAGACGCATTCTTTCAGAGCTACTCATGATTAACTGTCGATTTCCAACTATGATAAGGAGCTTTTTGTATGTACTGCTATATAGATTCAGTCATTATTACTATCATGATTGTTATTATTATCGGTTAACTGGCCGATTCTACAGAATCAGCTATTCCTATTTTGAAAAACACGCACAAAGAAGCAAGAAAAGTCTGAAAAACATTTCGCTAAGTTCCAATTTAAGAGTAATTATTGCGTGCTGAATAGACTTGACCGAGATACTGGTGTTTTTTTCTTTTTGATACAGTATCATTGTTGTGCCATAAACATGACGGTTCAGAAATCCACTGGTCTTATTTTCATCTCGGTTTTTTTTAGAGAGTATTTATATCCTTTCCAGTAAAACCAGTTCACACCATCAGCAAAGGAGGAGTGATTCCCACGAAGATATAGACCATTGAGATTTGAATAAAGACACCGCTTGTACCACCAGGCTCCTTTGTACTTAATGGCGCAGTTGGCCAGTAAAAGATCATTATCTTGATCTCTAGTGGTGAATGGCAAACCGTGATGATAAGCAAGAGAGTCACCAGAATTTCCTGACAAAACAAGCCGCTTTATGAGTAATACGTTTGACCAACAATGAGCAGTTCGTAATTCAAAAGAAATCTTGAAATATCAAATAAGTATAATTCAACAATAACAAAATGGAGTAAAAGTATTCTTAGTAATATCTATGATTCATGTCGAAGATTCTAGGGATTGAATCGCTAACTGTGATAATGCTAATAAATATGTTTGCCGAGGCATTCATCAGAGTTAAACTAGTCCGTCAGGTTAACTGCGCATGATCCACCGGCGAATACCTTTGGACTTATCAACGTCCGGTTTGCCCTGTCCAGGATCGCACATCGATGAGCTGAGCTTACGCACTCTCTTGTTCTCCAAAGCTATTGATTTAAAATACGCTAAGCATATTTACATTACTCAGCACTCTCCTCCTCCCCCTTCCCCCCCCCCCTTCTCCCTCTTAGAATGACTAGAATAGAAGCGACGGAATGACAGTTCTACCTGAATAAGAACCAAGGAGCAGCTTGTACTTGTCTTTCTCACTCATAACACCAAACATGTTATACTCAGCATATCTAGTGTTCCCTTCAAAGTCTTCCAAGTCCACACGCAGCATGCTGTTATTATCTGAGGTCAGCCGGTGAATCTTGTCCAGTCCCAACCAAAATTCACTTTTCAGGTCACCAAAACCATGTTTGTAGTCATTCCAGTAGCGGTAGAAATCAACTGAGCCGTTCAGTCTTTTCTGGAACACTGCCCACCCACCACCGGCTGTTGTTTGGTCACAGAATACATCAAAGGCAGGCAAATTATCAGGTTTGATGGTGTACACGCCGTCAATTCGTTTACCCGATTTGTAGATTTCTGCGCAGTTCCTTCTGACTAAAAATCAGAAAATAGAAATAAACAAAAAAACAAACAAAACGCCCACTTTAAATTGATTAGATGTTGAGTGCTTTTTGTTGCTTTCCTGACTGTTGCTCTGACTGATAAAACTTAATTCTATACATTAACTAATACCATTTCTTTTTCCTTAATATCTACTAGCTATATTCATGTAAAGTTACAATAATAGGATTTTCTTTTTTAGCTTCACTTCAGAGGTTAATATTTTGTTCTTGAAGTCAAGTTTGGGGCTCAAGTGAGTAACTCCTCGCGTACTAAACGAGAGACTAGCCCACACAATCCAGCCATTTCACCTTCAACTTGGCAGGTTTCTCCAGTGAATCTTTCCCGACAGACACAACGAAAACCTTTATAGGTGAATCCAGCTTGACAGGTGCCACTGTTTAAGCATGGGCTGCTGCTGCATGGATTCTGTTGACAAAACAAGGTAAACTATGGTGCAGATCTTCCTTATGTCAAGAATAAGATCACTTTAGCCTAAGAAAATAAACCAATCTCTTCTACCACCTAAAATTCGTAAGAATGTGAAATGTTACCTCGATTGCAAGATATGTGTAACTCAGATTGTTCACGAGAAGAAATGGAGCATTTTCCTCCGTGGCGTTATTCAACTCGCATTTTTGGTTTCCTCCTACAACAGGTCCAACATTGATGGACACACAATTAGGCTCCATCAAACACATTACTTTGCAGCTTCCTTCGTTCGGCACCTCTGCAATTTTGATCACATGACTTTTCATGGCCATGTTCGGTATTGGGTCCTTGAATTTGATGTGTCGACTATCGTCGTCTGTGGTAGTCAATACAAATACATCATTTAGTTTCCACTCACTCCAGATAATTTCTTATTTTCATCGATGAAAAAGGCACATTAAACAACTTTATTTCAAAACTTTACAGCAGGAGAACCCTGACGAATTTTCCCTAAAAGTGATTCTCATCTCTTGAAAATTCAACGTAACTGGGAGGCTTTCATTACCAAACATTAATCTTTGATTGTGAATTCATGAGCGGAAAGAAAATGTTAAAAAAATATGAAGAATAATTTCATAGCGTTCATTAACGCACCACTAGTTCGAGTTTAAAAGCAAAACAGAACAAAACAGGAATGATAAAAAATATAGCCACAGTGGCATAACTGTTATAATTCATACTAATCATGACGGTGTCAGAGTGACTGCGAGCGAGCGACTGAGCTAACTTGGCTAGCTCGGAGATCGCCAGTGAAGCAAGCCTCAGAAATTACATCGACCGCCCTTCGCGTTAACAGTGAGCTTGCTCTGACGTCCTTTCCGATTTGTTGAGTGGTGAAGGCCACATCAGTCACTGCAACCGAGTTTTGCGGCTCAGTCGATCATCTCGAGCAATCTTCCAGTTCCGGTGAATTCGTCTCTCGTTCATTCATAAAATTCGCCTTGAGCAGTTTGTTTACTATTTATCATGTGAAAAAACGTGCGTGTTTTTGTGAGCCACAATTCAGCCGGATTTCACGGAACATTTCACCTCCACTTAGAGACTAAAAAACTTCTGGCAAAAGTGTGAGATTCGACCTGCCAAACTATTTAAGTTTGTAAACAATTGCAGAATGTGACCTTTGATGGTTTGACATTTCTGACAGCTTTAGTCTTGTACAGCCAATCAGATATTTGAACTGTTATAAAAACGATTCGGATTGGCTTATTGTACTACGTCTCGTGTTTCTCCCTACACTTCTTTCGTGCTCGAACCGCTTCGTGCGTGCGTGCTTTACAACAGAACAGGGCACAGTCAAGTCTTCTGTATTTGTTCAATAGAAGAAATTTTGAGTTAGATAAAGCGGATTGTCTGCTTTAAGGTTATTTACTTTGATCAGCAGGTAGCATATGTAGTTCGTGTAATTGTTTTGAGGAAACGACACCAAAAAGAGGAAACACAAAAAATTTAAAAAGGGATTTATACTCACCAGTGCAACAGAAGCATGATGGGAGAATAATTCCAAGGAAGATATAGAGAATACTAATGATCGGTTGAAGAGAAAACTTGAACTGCATCGCTATAAATAAATAACTGTAAATTCAGGGTAATCAGTATGATAGTGCATGAGCGTTCCAAAATATAAAACTTCCTGTTTTCCTATAAATTTGAATGTTGACAAATGTTAGGCAGTTGTCTGCACTGGAGTATTTTTAAATACTTACTCTATCTTGTAAATTTCATCTTATTCTTATAAGACCTAATATTTTATAAAGCTTCGAAGAAGAACGAAATGGAGCACATCACCGTTATCGGAGGTGACAGGAGTTTATCAATATGTTTATTTTCAGCCTGTTTAACTTTGAGCTTGCGGCAGTTAAGTTAAGAGCAAGAAACAAATTTTTGCAGACTTGCTACCGACAAAGATGTCAGATCACCTCTGAAAATACAAAATGTGAACAATTTATCCTGATGACTTGCGGCAATCAAGTTAAGAGCAAGAAACAAATTTTTGTAGACTTGCTACCGACAAAGATGTCAGATCACTTCTGAAATACAAAATGTTAACAATTTATCCTTTTTTATCTCAAAATGTTCTTCACTTCGATAGAACAGCATTGCACATTATTAACATGAAGATTAACTTTGAAGCAACTTTATATTGAACAATGCGATAGAATGTATGTAAAGTACAGAGGCCTAAGTTTTTTATGTCTCGTTTTGCTCATGGTAGTTGAACATGGCAGTTAGCATTGAACATCACCCGATTTTATCTTAGTTAGACAGGTCGCAAGCATTCTATGACTTTCGGATGATATTTGAGAACTTCAACCTAAAAACTTTCAAATTTGTAACAACTTTGATCAGAAGGGTGTGACAGAATGTGAAATATTGTGTGGCTGAATTGACAGAAATTTACTCAAAATTTTTCGTAATCAATTCTGCAATCAACGCAATTGGTCTGAGCAAGAAAGGTTTGGTCTAAGAAATATAGATAAGTAGCTCACAGATCTCTTACCTTCTGAGCGAAAAAGTGTTTTTCCTTACTTGGTTTTGTTCTTGAGGGTATCAATAATGAAAACTTTATGGTGTCGTGCTTTTCTTCAATTTATAGAACTGTTTGAACTTCTGTAACTATGGTTACAAAACAAAACCTCTGTTTTATACGCCACAGTCCTTCTTCCTGTTCAGCTGTTCTAATTGTTGTTAATCATCAGGTCAAAGCTTTTGCGTTTTAATCTAAATTACTGCGGAGTCTCATCTTAGTACCACTGGATATGACAGTCAATGAAATATTTCTATGAAAATCCAGTAGTATGTTCCGAAATACATATATCGCAAGTCTAACTCTTAAACAAAGCTGCAAATTATTTGGTCAAAACACTTTCAGCGAGACATGTAAGAAGTTTTAGAATTACACAAAGTGGTCCTATTTTCCTTGGTGATATGTGTTATGACAGGTTATGACAAGTCTACGTTTTTCAAGTTAAAATTTATGAAAATATGTCGGAATTTTTAGAACTACACAACGTGTCGCATTTTCCTCACTAAAAAACTCACGTATATAGATGTTGTCAATGGAACCGTTATTTGTTTCTTCCTCTCCTTACGGTTTGGTATTCAATTTGGCTGGCGTTTCGTCCTGAAAACTGCATATGAGTGTCAAATTTAAGTTTCAGCTGCTCGTGTGGTGGAGAAAAAATAAAGTCTCGTGAGACGGCCATAATATTTAAAAGCATTATATGCAAGAGATTATCTGAAGTGAAATCTACATTTTCTGGGTCGTTTCGCTTCAGTGGTTTCACTTGATTCGTTTTGGTCATTTCGTTTTGCTGTTTCGGGTCTTGGTACATGCCGAAATTATAAACGATATCACCACAAACTAAACATTTCGACTCAATATCTGTCCGCTGAAAAAACTGATCTTACTAGAAAGTGCCCAGAAACTTGGAAAAAATGGCGATGAAATGCAAGGGGTACATGACGACTTTGAGGTTTCTTTTTTTTCACCCAGGAAGCCATAGGCCTGCTTAATGATAAAATATAGTGTTACAGAGAATGTGATATACTGTTACAAGTAAGCGTTGTACGATACTGTACTTCTCATCGTGCGCGAAAACCTTATTTGCAGTAGGGTACTCTTGTTAAAAGAGGTTGTTATTGACCACAAGGTAACTTAGTTCTGATAACTGAGTTGACAATGCAAATGATCTCCATAAAGGGTTTCTAAGGCTACCATTTCGAACGCCCCTCAACAGAGCTTTATTAACAACATCATTTTCATCGTCGCTCGACATAATTCCTGTGAATACGTTGACCCTCGTGCAAAAAATGGAAAGTAGCTTACAAATATATTTCTTACCTTATGACTGACAAAATGTTTGTTGTACTTGATATTGTGTTTGGGTATGTTATGAGAGGTGAACATAAACGCCACAGGCCTTCTTCCTTTTCAGCTGTTCTACTTATTTGTAGTCATCAGATCACTGCTTTTGTGTTAACTGTGGGTGACTTTTTTTCTCTAAATAACATTGTAGAAATATAATACTCAATGAAATACCTCAATAAGAGTCCTGCAAACAAAGCTACAAATGATGAGATGAGATCAATAATTGTAGGAACCCAAACACAGTGAGACAAAGTCTCGAGGGAAATTTGAAACAAGCCTAGGACGTTATAATCAACCATTAATTTTCGCGCCCATATACTGCTACTTTACAAAAAACACTCTTTTTGTAGAGTCTAGTAAAATATTAAAAAGCTGGTCGCAACTGCGCATCCGCATCAGATAAGCACTTGTTTTTCACGAGCGGTCCCGGGTGATATGAGAATTAAGAGGAGGGTACGTTTTAAAATAGATAAACCCCTTTCTGGCTTGCTGGTATTTCGGCTGATAATGTCCTTGGCTGAAAGACTGTCATAAAAACGTCACATTTTCCCTCGAAGCTTTGCTACTCGGCCAAATATTTTTTTAACTTTTTGGACAATATCTCAGCCGTGGACATTATCAGCCGATTTACCAGCCGCCCGAATGGGTTTATTTACTAATTAGTTGTATCTCAAAAACAAGCAGAATGTTACGGCCGTCGGAAAAATCTTCAAACGGCCGTCAAAGGATACGGTCATTGTTCCAAACATTTAAACCACGAAAATACCGTATAAGGGGTCTTTCTTTTTCTATTAGATTAAAGTGAGGGTCTTAAATACCCCAGAGAATATCAATCGCTAAAAAAGTGGTGTCGTGCCATCGTTAATAAAACTATTTTAAGTGCTGTAATCATGGTTACAAAACAAAATATGTTTAATAAGCGATGAACGGACGCGCTTTAGTTTTTCTTCCTAATCATACGTTCCAATTGTAGTCATTCATCAGTTCATGGTTTTGGTCTTTTATATTTTTGATAATCCAGTACAAGGTTTTTGAAAAGTGCCGGAAAGTCAAATTCTATGAAAAAGCCGCAAATGATTAGATGTGAATGATAATTGTTGGAACACAAACGCAGTAGAATTGACAATAGAAAACATAAATATTTCTAGTTTAAGATCGTGTTTGCCTAAAATCTTTTGCTTTTTTAGCTGGTGGCTTTCTCTCAGGCAACCAGGATGAAGAAATGATACAGCAAAACGAAACGAAACATGCGAAACCTCCGAAATGACCAAAGCAAAACGATCGAAACAAAACGAACCTAGCGACCAAAACGAACGACCGATATGACCCAAAAATATACATAAAATAACACTGGGGCGGATCTAGGGGAGGCCACATAAAGCATAGTAGTCTATGGTCAAAGGT